CTAACCTAGCACCAACAGATAACTAACCTAGCAGGATAGACAACTAACATTGCAACATGACAAAACTAACCTTGCTGAGACATATAACTAACCTAGCACCAACAAACAACTAACCTACCACCAACAGACAGATAAAATTGCAACAGACAAAACAAACCTTGCAGCGACATAAAACTAACCTAGCAACATCATACAACTAACATTGCAACATGACAAACTAACCTTGCAGAGACATAAAACTAACCTAGCGACAGATGATAACTAACTTAGCAAGAACAGAGACCTAAACTAGCACCAGTACACTACTAACCTAGCACCAACAGACAGCTATCATTGCAACATGACAAAATAACCTTGCAGAGACATAAAACTAACCTAGCAACAGATGATAACTAACTTAGCAGGAACAGAGACCTAAACTAGCAACAATACACTACTAACCTAGCAACATCATACAACTAACATTGCAACATGACAAACTAACCTTGCAGAGACATAAAACTAACCTAGCAACAGATGATAACTAACTTAGCAAGAACAAAAACAGCAAAATGCTCTCCCTTCTCTCTAGATTTCTCTCTCTACCCACACCTTTACCGTCCGCCGCCTAGCTATGCCACCGTCCTCCACACTGGCGCCGCCCCTTGTGGCGCTGGAACACCAACCAGTTACTGAAACATACTCAACCAATTCACAACATCAATCTACCATCTCAATCTCACCCGCTGCTCATATTTTCGCAGAACCAGATTTCTCGAACAAAAATGTCAAGTCATTCGAAGAAGAAGCTAAGGTATTAACGCCTCAAACATTATTTCCTGAATCGTTTGAAATTGTTGGCAATGTTGGTGCTATCTCAAGCTTCTCCTCAAAGATTCCGAACGCAGAGGTCGCCATCCCGGAATTAATTGCTCCGGCCTTGGAAACCTTGAACAACAACCCAGGCGTTTTTTTGTCAGAGTTTCAAATTGGTTCTCTACCGGTGATCCTTCGTCAAGATCCGCCATTTTCGCCGGTGAAATCACTAAATCCGCCGAGGTCTGTTCTACCTAATGGAGGCGTTGACTTCGGCTCCCAACTCCATGGACAGCTGGATGGTGCTTCTGGTCCCATTTTCCCTCAGCTCACAGATCAGGAGTATGGGCCAGACAATACCAGGTCAGTATTGGGCCAAACCGGTTTTGGGCCTCATCACAATTTAAATCTTGGGTCATTTCCCCAGCCCACTAACCATACACAACTTACCACCATACCTAATTCGTCCAACCATATTACCATCACCCATGATGGGCCTCCTATTGGCCTTCAGCCCAATCCCGCAACACCCATAAACCATCCCATTTTGCAGCCCATCACCACAAACAATGATTTCCAACGGCCTAACAACATCTCTGCAGCCCATCTCTACAGCAATCCCATTTTGCAGCCCATCTCTGCAGATAACATATCCCAACGAGATTACAACAGCAAATTGACCGGTGCCGGCGCCGGCGAATGCGCCGTTAACAACAAGACCTCCAGAGATATTCATTCGGCCGAAACTGGGGAATGTGCCGGCAACATTCTTGCCACCGAACCATCACAACCGGCTGACGACATTTTCAGGGCAGCCCCACATTTGGCTCCGCTGACCGGCACCGGCACCTCCACGGGCCCGGTTTCATTTCGGGAGGCCGTTACGGGAAAGAAAAAGGGCGGCTCGAGCTCCCAAAACCCAACACCGAAAGATTATCCATTCGACGGGAATTACGAACATGCTTGTGGTACCATCACTCGCTCGGAGGGGAACAAAGTGAAGGCCCGTTTCACTGACGCCGAATCTGGCGACCTGTCAGGTAAACTAGATAACACCCTGGTATTTAAGTTCTCTTATGCTATCCCCGCCCCTCGAGATATATCTGCTGGACTTAAGAAATTGGGTTTTAAGGGTAGTGTATCATCGAAGTGGTTCAACTTTAACCATCTCCTTGTGACCTTCCACCTCATTGAGGATTATAATGAGGTCTGGCTTAAGACCTTGATTCATCTATGCGGATGCCCAGCTAGGGTATTCAAATACTATGTCGGGTTTAACCCAAAGACGGAGGCGCCGATTGTCCCTGTTTGGTGCCGCCTTCCGGGCCTCCCACCCCACCTCTACGACCGCGCTGCCATTACTACACTTGCTAAGTGTATTGGGCAGCCGATTCGTATTGACGCCCACACGGCCCTTCAGACGAGGGTTAGCGTGGCGCGGTTTTGTATCGAGATAGATCTCAGAACGGAGCTCGTTCATGAGATCGAGATTGAGCAGGGCTCCGAGTCCTTTGTTCAGCGGGTGATCTACGAGAAGATCCCCGCTTTCTGTACCGCGTGCAGACATGTTGGTCATATTGCGGCCGACTGCTATATTAGTGGCTATAAGCCACGTCCCTCTCTGCCTCCGCGCCGTCGTACGGCCCAGACGGGACCCTCCGACAATCGGAGGGAACCGAAGGGAAAGGGCAAAGGCCCTCTCCAGGCACCCGGATCCCCAAAGGGGGCCACGGATAAGGGCAAAGCGAAGATGGACGCCACTGCCCAAACTGGAAAGGGTGCTAACCCCGACCAGTCTGATCATTTCATCCTAGTTGGGCCCAAGGCCAAGGCCACGGGTTTCCTCCCTAGAGATACTCTTCAGTCGGCCTTCAAGGCCAAACATTCGTTCTTTGCTCCCCTCTCTCCTGAGTCGAAGGATGAGGCTGAGCCTTCCTCTTCGGACCCACACTGTCTCTCAGACCTTGACCTGTTCGATGATGACGACCTTCTCGTAGATGATTTAGAGCAGCCGGTCACTCTACCCACTGGCCCGACCACCCATTTATCTCCGGACAGCATTTGTGATGATGTC